TTTAATTTAATAATCAATAAATTTTATTTTATTAGTGTAAAGATAAGTTTTAATTTCGACAAAGTTTAGGCAGTTTTGTTTAAAATATAAAATAATATTGAACTGCCATATTATACTTGAAATCGGGTCTAATTTGTATGTCAAAATATTATATTTTTATTTTACGCAATTAAATAATTATGGTGAAAAGGAGTTTTAAATTTAATAAATTTTAAAGAACAAAAATTTATTGATTTTGAATAAGAAATGTTTTACAAGTGTTATGAGACATCTCTAACTCATACTTAGGTATGGATATGGGAAATGAGTGTTATATTTATTGGTATCAGAGCTGTAGGTGTAACACCCATTCCCCGTATACCTTTCTGTACACGAGATATAGATGTCACATTACTCTTAAAATAGTTATTCTTTTGAAAATTTCGAAATTATTTTCCTTTTTTTCTTTTCTGAAAACATAACATTTTAATATGAAACAAAACCTTGCTTTCAAACTATTATAAATTCTACTTAATTAAAATTAAAAACATTTAAATATTGTGATTACATGCCAACGAAGTTTTTCCAAAATAAACTAGATTGTCTTGGTATCATGGATGAGTCCACCTTAGTTGATGATCACCACATCTACAAAAACACTCCTTACTCCGTTAATCTTTTCTTTTACCTACATGTGAGAAACAACACACGTTAAGCAATTACTTAGTGAGATATAATATAGTAAAGAACATTCAAGGATACATAAGTATCTCATAGTTATTTGACTTCAAACTAAGTTATAACATCCATAGGAATTAGTTAAGTCCTTCTTATCATAACCAAACCTTGGTCATATTATCCTCATAACCATCTTTAGTATGTCCAACATACTTCTCTTTACTTCATTAACTTCAATTTAGGACTCTTTTCACATTTTAACTCATCCATTTATACATTTAAATTATGGTATCCTTTCATTGCCTTAATGTATTCTTTCATGCATTTTAATTTATGGCATTCTTTCATGCCTTAATGCATCATTTCATGCATTTTAATTATGACATCCTTTCATGCCTTAAGACATCCTTTCATGCATTTTAGTTTATGACATCCTTTCATGCCTTAAAGCATCCTTTCATGCATTTTAGTTTATGGCATCCTTTCATGTCTTAATGCATCCTTTCATGCATTTTCATTATGGCATCCTTTCATGCCTTAATGCATCCTTTCATGCATTTTAATTATGGATTCGATTTAGAGCAATTCATACTCTAAAACTCATTCATGATCTTATTTCCATACGTATAAAGATATCATAATCACTATTATAAACATATGTAAATTTAAAGCATACTAAATTGAATATTCTTCATCTCGCATACTTATATTAAAGTATTCACCTGGCTTGCCTCGTTTCGGTATCCAATATGTGAAGTTGATTACTCTGGAACTTGGCATTTGTCTTTTGCTTTACTTGATTCAGGAACTTGATTTCGATCTATTCAACATCCATTAAATACATGTTTAATGTCAATTGTTAGTATATCTCCTCACAATTACACTTAAACATTACTTAAAAGCATTTATTAATAACTTTTCCACAACAATTTCAGTTTATTTTAAAATTTATGGCTCCTCAGTATCGATACCCCTACTATGGTATCGATACTACCATATTATAGAATTGATACCCTATTATGGTATCGATACCATTTTTGCATTCTATTTTGAAATAGTATCAATACCTTCCCTTCGGTATCGATATGCCCCATTTAGTATTGATACTAATTGAATCAGTATCGATACTACTTAGCAAATTCCTCCCATTTTAGACTATAGTATCGATAATGTCTATCAGTACTGATACCCGTGCCTAGAATTTCCAATTTGCAACCCGATTTTCACCCAAGTGGGATTACATTTTGTTATACTAACACCATAAATACTACTAAACTCTTCTTTAATTATCTATACTAATATTCCTTCATCTAGCCTCTTAAAACATCTAAAATCTTTCAAGAACATTAAATTATAAGTATCACACCATTTTTCCTAGTATGTTCTTAATCCTATCCAATGCTTCTAATCTCTTATTTACCTCTTTGACAAGTCAAATCTACCAGAAAACATCAACAACCACTCATATATTAACATATCATTTCAAAACCCATTTTCTAAAATCTCAATTATTTCCACCATTTCTTAGTTTTAATCTCATTTAATCATTCCTTAAGCTTCTATCATACTCAAATATTCAATAACCAACCTAAAATGAAAAGATAAACCATCAAATTAAAACCTCACCTTTAGCTAAGGTTGAGAGCTTCTTACGTGAAAGAGGAAGAAGAAGAGAGTTGACATTGCTTAATCCCTTTTTTCCTTATTTCTTTACTTAATATACTGATGTAAGGTAATTCTACCTTTTCGATTGATTATGGATCTAGGAAGGAAGCAAAACAATCTGCATAAGTGAATGGCTCAAATAGATGGTTTGGTGGTAGATGTAAAGGTGAAAAGATAGGTTATTTATGAGAGATGGTAGCGAAAGTATGTTATTATGGCTATGGTATGGATGATGAAACAATGGAAAGTTGTGAGGATAGTATCTTAAAAAAGACTCAAAGAAGAACCAATATTAAATAACAAAGACCCATACTTTATATTGCTTCTTTAAGGGGTGGTAATAAGGACTTGGACCCACTATCTATATGGAGATAGGAACCATAAGTATCAAAGGGAAAGGGGTTGACGCCACAAGTAATGAATTACTTGATAAGTCAATAAAAGTCACAATGACTTAAGAAAAGAGAAATATCTCACTTTTAATTGATAAAAATGTCTGTCTACAAATGAAATATGAAAGCCTATTTATAGTTTTTGAAGGGACTTGGCCGAATGGATAGGTGGCCTTTCATCTTGGCGCCTAAATGATGCACACACATAGCCCATACTCATGCCTTGGCTGAATAGAGGGGGTTGTTCATTTGGCGCCTAATGGAAGCTCATGTTAGGAACATGGCTTTGCAAGTCACAAGGCATGCACATGGCTATGTGAAGTGTGGTTTCGTGCATGGGTTGAAGGTGGGTAGCAACTAGGCGTGACTTAGCTCTATTCAAGCTAATAGTGAGCTAGCTATGTAAGTAAAGGCTGATGTGTTGCAAGCATGCTAGCCGTGACTTCATAAGCTCCCTAGCATCTCCTTTAGCTATGTTCAGCTACACTTGGCATCACTTGTAGCAACTTGACTTCAAATGGTTCATCCAGCTAGGTTCAGCCACATGCTAGCTCCCTCAACTGAGTTGAGCTTTCTATAAGTCTCCATGAGCTAAAATATCCTTTCTGAGCTAATTATGAGCTGCATATTGATGCCAAATAGTCCACCAAGCTGCCATAATGTGTGTCATGCTTCAATGTACCTACATGTGCAAAGAAAGCAAGGTAATTCAATGGCATGGAGCTTGTATGAGCTAAATACCTTGCTGTCGTGCATGATTATGGTATTGCGAGCTATGATTGCATATCATGAGCTAAATATATATCATCATATAATATGTGTGAGCTAATGTATAAGACCTAGGAGCTAAAATGAATGCAAATGAGCTAATAAATGAAAGATTAAACATGTTGAATGTAATAAATTAGGCTTAAATGAATGTAGGACTAATATAACATAACATGCTTGAAATAACATTGTGCATCAATTAATATAAAGATGTGGATCATACAACAACATTCATAACTATGTTATTACATATAAATGAATATGTCTGATTATATATTTGTCATACATAATGCAAACAATATGTGAATAATAAAAGAATAAGGTAATGATAACTCCCTTTGTTTTTATGGATGCTTTCATATATGAATGAAGTTTGATCCTGGTCATGCACGTATCATATACTATATAAAATGAATTTTAAATTCATTTTATTCCAAATACCCAAAAATACCCTTTTTAATCCTTCATCACTACAATTTAGTATAAACTACTATTCCCAACTCATTCTCATTTTTATCAATTAATCAATTTAGTCCTCTAAATTTTTAATTCCTTTTAATTTAATCACAGACCTATTATTTGGGGTATTACATCCCTTATCATGTCATAGTGGATTGTATTTTAAAGCAATTGATCATGAAGGACTCGTGAGGTTCTGAGATCATAGTGGATGGTAGAAAAAGGTTAATTTGTTATCTAATTTCATTTTTAGTAATAACTATCAAGAAGTTATCATTGTAAAGTTGTTAAGCTTTCTTAGTCGATGTTCTAGATACTCGAGTTTCTAAGCTTAAGTTGGATGATATTTCGACTATTCAAGAGTATCTAGATGTAGTTTTAGATAAGTTACTGAGATTATTTCGCAATTGAAAGATATAATTTAAAATAGAAATATTATCAGGTACTGCATATATTTGTTTATAACCTTGTATCACATAGCTCCTACCAAGCTCGAAAATTAAGGGTGCAATTACTAGGATTGTTATATCAGGGTTTATAAGGTTGACCATGTTACCTTGAGGTGTACCAGTATTGTTGTAAAAAAAAGATGGATCTATGCAATTATGCATAGATTATCGTCAGTTAAGTAAAGTGTCAGTTAAGTAAAGTGACATTGAAGTACAAGTATCTTCTCCCAAGGATCGATGATTTTTACCAACTAAAAGGTGCATATGTACTTTTTAAAATCGACCTCTGATTAGAATATCATCTGTTAAAGATTAAAGAAGCAAATATTCCTAAGATATTTTTAGGACTTGATATATGATATGTACTTATATTTTGTAGAATTGCCGTTTGGATTAACGAATACTCATTTTGATATTTATGGATTTGATGAATTGAGTGTTTCATTCATACGTGGATCATTTTATGGTGATGTTATAGATTACATATTGGTTTATATAAATGTAGACGCTCATTTTGTCTGGTGTTTCATTCGAGTTTTTGTTAATATATATATATAGTACTTATTAATTACTTAGGATTATATATTAGTTTTGTTTATGGTCATATATATGGGTATATGAAATTATTATTATATATATACATATAAATATATTATGACAAACGTTAGTGCACTAATTAAACGTGCTATTTTTACAGGCCTGACCAACAAAGTAATTACAAAGCAGCTCAGTAACTGAGGCCCAAAATAGCAGCCCTATCAACCAGGACTTCCAAGTGGATGGTCACACCAACAGAAACCCCAAGCCTTCCGCAGCTTCTCTCCATCCAGCAAGGAAGCCACGTTGATCCTACCGTTGCTCCAACTCACAACTAGCAGCTAAGTAAGACTGTTCCAGAAGAGTCGAGAAGCTCAGGACGGTCCCAAGCACGTGCTCCTCCACGCCAGCTGTGGTAAATTTCAGAAGCTTCTCCTCATGCCTCCAGCTGGCCATGCGTAACTGAATCTGTTAGGAGGCGGAGTAACAAGCATTTTGAAGAGAGAGTTATTATATTACTCAATCTCCATTCGAAGAGGAGGAGGGGAACGATTCGGAAAAAACAGAAACGAAAAGCCATTTTTTATTTCCATTCATTAACCACTAGAGTAAGGATGAACAAAAAAATTAAGAGGGGTAGATCCATTTTTTAAGAGAGTAACGAGAAAAGAGAGAATCCTATAAAGAATCTTCTCCTTTCCACAAAAAATGGCAGTGTACCGTGAGGCTCTCAGTCCCCATTCGAAAAGAGAGGATTTGTAACAGCTTATTCAGCCTCCATTGAAGAAAAGAATAACCATTGTAATAGTTGATCCTCATACGAAAATAGAATACAAAACAAAGCTTTTTTTGAAGGTATATATTGTTTTCTTTGTTCTTTTTTTCTTTTATTCAAACAAAAATCAGTAGTATAACAATCTTTTCTTTAGGTACTACCATTTTCATATTTCAGTAACAACCCTCCAATTATTATTCAAAGCATGTTCAACAGAAACAAAATAAAATAGGAATAAGGGAAGGAGCTACGTTACCGGTTCGGTTAAGTGGTCTCGATCGTTTGGTCTCAGGGCGTAGATGTTGAGAAATAGGCTCTGTAGGTTAGGGGACGTGTTGATGGTGGTTTGAGGAGGCGGTTAGAGGTGAGATAGCCACTGATCTGTGGTGGCTGTTAAGAACAGGGAACCATTGGGGCTTTCGACCGAGAGATAAAAACAGTATGATGAGGGGAGGGTTTAATTGATTTTACTTGAGTGTGAGGGCTCTGCCGTTTGAAGCCCGTTGCCGGAGAAATGGAGAGCCACCATTCGTAAGCTTAGAGAGTGAAGTCCAGAGATCGACGGTTTCTTTGAGGCTTTTAAAGTTTCTTTTTTGTGTTTTAGACCTTAGATCGGAGGTTAGAATAGTGAGGCGAGGGATGAAATGAGTTTGGTGGTTGATTTAGGTCACCGGGCCGCCGACCGGTGGCGATGGAGGCTCTGGTAAAGGTTTCGAACGAAGGGGAGAGCAATAGGAAGAGAGAAAGTGGTCGGCTGTGTTGCTAAAAGTGATTAGTTTAGTTTGGGTTTGTTTTTAATTAGCTTTTATATAAAAATATTTGGGTTAAGTATTATTTTAGCCACCGAATCTCAAGGATAAAATCACGCTTCAATTCCCTTAATTTCAGCGAATATTTACAAAATAATCACCGTAGGACTATTTTCGAATTTGATCCTTTTTATTTGTCTCAATGTTGTTATTTTACATATTTGATTTCCTGTTTCACTTATTTGGTTTAATTATGTTAATACTCCTCGTTTTAGCGAATTTTTACATTTTAACTTTTGTATTTGTTGTTTCATATGGTTGATTTTAATTTACTTCAATTTCATTCTTAATTTTAATTGCATGTTAGTTCCTGTTTACTCCCTAATTGATTTAGTAATTATTCAATTTAATCCCTTGTTTGTTTAAATTGTTAAGTGCTAATTAAAATTCATATTTATTTTCTTTCGAATCGTATTAAGTAATTAGATTATTTTTCATTTTTAAATTCACATGAGAAATTTTGTTGCATGAGTAATTTATTTTCTTATTTCCTTGATATTATTTAGATTTTAGAATTTATCCCAAGGTTAGATAGCATATCTTTTAAATAATTATGGTTAATTAGAGCCTTAGTTTAGGTTTAGTCTCTATCATTGATATGTGTTGTTTTTAAGTCATTTGCTTTTTATGTTTGTTTTAGATTGAATCTTTAGATTTAGGTCTTAGATACTTTTGTCCTAATTTAGATTATTTCATCTTTTGGATTAAGTGATTAGATCTAAATTTATTTTAATTTAGTCCATTGTTAGGATTGATTTCTTTAATTAGTTGTTTATATTTATTTCGCATGATGATATGCTTACATATGTATGAGTATGCTAATAATTCATTAGTAAATCGAACGGCATCATTTTTGTTTGAGATTTATGATACCCTCATATGCATAGCTCGACCCTCATCAAATAATTGGATTAAGGGTAATACTCTTTTATTTTAAAATCGTTGTGAGAGGTTTCTCTTACCTTATTAGAGAGCCACTTTCAATGATTTTAAATTGAAAGTGTATCCCAACATACTTAAAAATGATTCTTCACCTAAAATTTGGGAATGAGAGAATAAGAAATATTTGTTCATTTAAATTCTTTTTGAGAAAAGATTGTTAGAACTTATCTAAGGTCTAATCTTTAAATAATCTAATATTCTTCTTCTTTCTAAAAAGGCTGGGTAATTTTATTTTAATATGTTTTTGGTGCATTTGAATATTATAATGGAACTATAATATTTCTTTATTTCGGTTGGAGTAAATATTATTATATTTCAATTTAAAATTCATATTTTGTTGTTTTATGGGATCATAAATTAAATTAAATTTGAACTTGTAAATTTCATTTCAAAGATATTAATTAATCGACTAGGTACCGATTTAGGACGTCGTGCGGGTGCTAATCCTTCCCCACACGTAACTGACTCCCGAACTCAAATTTGGTAACACATACCTCAAATTTGGTGTTTTAATTAAATTAATATTTTTATTAAAATGATAAAAAAATATGTTTTTGGGTATCCAATAGCACGCTAATTAAAAATTGGTGGCGACTCCTCGAACCTTATGTTTTATTTTTAAAAGGAATCCCAAATTTTTTGAAACGAGAGATTTTTTTTTAAAATCACATTACTTTTTAATAAAAATTAATCAAAACAGATAAATTAAAAAAATGGTTTTTTTTTAAATCTCACTTAAGAAAAAAAATCGTTTCGACAACTTGACGACTCTGCTGGGGACTTTTTTTGAGAGTCAGGCCTATAGTCAATTAGTTAATTGTCTTTGCAAATGAGAGTTACAAGTTCGTTCTAATTTGGTTTTTGATCTCTTGTTTAGTTTTAAATAAGTTTTTGTTTAGATTTTGAACCGTAATTTGATTAACCATTAAATAGTTGTACTGACTTGTTTGTTGATGTTTTCATATTGATTATGTGTTTTAAAATTAATTTAAGGATTGATTTGAGTGTTGTGTGATTATGTGTTTTTCGCTTTTCCTCACACACTGCACAGTTGCATTATCATAACATGATCTAAAACCCCGCTCTGTCCGATTTAAGTAAGAGCGAGAAATTACTCCATCATGTGGTTTTCACCTCTGTATGGGATAGTGAATCGCTCTTGGAGCTCACGCCTTATGGTCCTCATGATGGTATTCACCTCTGCACAGACATAAGGAGGTGTGTTCCCTTGAATTGAACTCAATCCCTAAAAGTATATGATGGGCCAACATTAAGGGTTTGATAGCCCAAGGGGGAACCAACAAGGACAATTCGAAAACCTATTACTTTAGAGTCGAACCCAACATATAGTGAACCTAAAACCCGAACCTAGGTAGAGCCTAACCCGAACCTTAAGAGTCCTGTGAGGAGGGTACACAAGGAAAAGCTTTTTGAGTCATTTAATTTCACTTTCGAAATAAATGTATGGGAACTAGAGATCATGCAGTTAGGTTTATTTTTCTTGAATAAGCATGCGAACTAGATAGAATGAGGTTAGGTTTTTTAATGTTCAAACAATGCATAGGGGTAGATATCATGTTTAAGTAGGATTTGATAAAGTATGATTGGTAGCCAACATGTGAAGGTAAGATTCATTAACAAATTATTATTGTAACACCTATAACCTGTATAATTATACCTATACAGATTATAGATGTCACCCGAATTTCTAAAACCATTTCCACTTTGAAAGTGATTTAAAATTTATTTCCTTAAAATGGTAACTTATATTATAAAAATATCATATCATATGAATTATGTTTCATTATAACAAATTTAAAACAAAAGTATTTTTTTTATGAATAGTGAACAGTGAACAATACCGTGAACAGTGTATCGGTGCACTGCTACATTGACGTGAACAGTGTATCGATGCACAAAAACATCGAATTAAAATTGTGTATCGATGCACTGCTACAGTAATTTCCAAAAATACATATAAAACTCATAAAAATTTAACCTTTCATCACTATAAAACTTACCATTTTGTTTCCAAATTTATTCAACAAAACCAATTGAATATTATTAATTACATGCCACTATCTAAGTTAAATTTCATCATAGGATGTCTTACTGATATTGCAATATACTCCTCGATGCTTGATGTCACTTTGAACTCTTTATTCCACTACTTGCTTTTTACCTACGCGTGAAAATCATCACACACTAAGTATAAACTTAGTGAGGCAATTAAAACAATAAACAGTGAAATACAATTCATGTATGAATTTCAATGTAAATTTCAAAATGCCATAAAATCATATTACCAACATATTCCAATATTTTACAATGATCAAAATGATATAAAATTTCTTATCATTTTTCTTATATGCTCGTAAGCTTATTCTACCAATATACTTACCATTTATTCCATAAGCTTGTAAGCTTATTTTACCAATACACTTACCATTTGTTCCATAAGCTCGTAAGCTTATTTGCATGGTTACCATTTATTAACCAATAAACCATAAACCATAGCCTATAGCCCAATATACAACCTTGAGGACCCTGTGTATTCGAGTAATATTTGAACCGTAGTGCTACACATAAGGTCGTGCCCATCATATACACCGAAGTGTATTACACATAAGGTCGTGCCCATCATATACACCGAAGTGTATTACACATAAGGTCGTGCCCATCATATACACCAAAGTGTATTACACATAAGGTCGTGCCCACCATATACATCGAAGTGTATTATAAACCTGCAGCTGCTATACTCTATGGCATGCCAACTATACCCTGTCTCTCAATGACTTACTTGGGCATGTAGTCTATTTTATTCAATTCATCCATGGCAAAGTATATTATTCATATTTAACATTGGGCATTTCATACCGAAATAACATTCATGATAAAAATCATATGCAAAAATCAGTGATCAATGCATTTTATTTTCAACCTTTGACATATTTAGAATATATCAAATATATAATAAATGACATAAATATCATGTCAACATAAACAAGGTCGACTTATTGCAAGTCTTCTTGATGATGTATAAAACATCCATGTATAATGTCATGCATGTATTGCACTCACCTTGACACTTTATATCTTTCAAAATATGAGCCTCACTATGTTCCACAATAAACCCTTTTTATACTTGACTTGCTTCAATCGCAAATCAATCATTATCTGTATAAATCACAATTCATAACGATTACATATGTTAGTATTGTACTAACATAAACACATTCCAAAATAACTCCAAAATATACTTGAACTCATTTTCTATCAAAAATACTCAATACTTAATAATTCCTATAACATTGGAACCAACTTTTCCAATTTATCCACAATGGTCCTTCACCATTTTCCCACTTAAATTCTTAATACTAATAATTCCAGCATTAAAATATATTCCCATTTAAATGCTTTTACAAAAGCATAATTACATTTAAGTACACCAACTATACAATTGTTGTACTTAAATCACTAATCTTTTCAAACTTCCAAAATAATCATAGTTCACATTTAACACTCATTTCAATTCCAAAACAGAATTTTCCAGCAAAGTACATCAATTATAACACTTACACAACAACCCATCAATTTTCCATATTCAGACAACTCGTACTACCTTTAAAGAATCGGTATTATGTATTGATATACATACTGCAATTTAATTCTGTTTCTTCCATTGAAAACTAAACTCGAATACGCATCCATCCATATAAAGAACTTCTTCTAATTCATTCTGTACAATTTATGGTGAATTTTCAAATTTGACCAACATAATCTGTTTTGCAGAATCTGCTGTCCGATTTTTCTGACCTTTCCTTGGTTAAAAATTCATATCTTTTTATATACACCTTGAAAATGATTCCCGTTTGTTTTAAACAAAACTATATCGATATATGAACACAAATATATAAAAATAACCTAGAAATTATTTTTATATAATATCTGGTGAATTTTCAAACCTACTGCCATATTAAAAATCCAAACTATTTTCTTTAACTTCATT